CCCTGTTCTACAGAGTGAGTGAGTGGAGATTGTGTGTTCTCCCCCTGTTCTACAGAGTGAGTGGAGTTTGTATGATGTCCCCCTGTTCTACAGAGTGAGTGAGTGGAGATTGTGTGAACTCCCCCTGTTCTACAGAGCGAGTGAGTGGAGTTTGTGTGATCTCCCCCTGTTCTACAGAGTGAGTTGAGTTTTTATGATCTCCCCCTGTTCTACAGAGCGAGTGGAGTTTGTATGATGTCCCTCTGTTCTACAGAGTGGAGTTTGTATGATCTCCCCCTGTTCTACAGAGTGAGTGAGTGGAGATTGTGTGATCTCCCCCTGTTCTACAGAGCGAGTGAGTGGAGTTAGTATGATCTCCCCCTGTTCTACAGAGTGAGTGGAGTTTGTATGATTTCCCCTGTTCTACAGAATGAGTGGAGTTTGTATGATTTCCCCTGTTCTACAGAGTGAGTGGAGTTTGTATGATCTCCCCCTGTTCTACAGAGTGAGTGGAGTTTATATGATCTCCCCCTGTTCTACAGAGTGCGTGGAGTTTGTGTGATCTCCGCCTGTTCTGCAGAGTGAGTGGAGTTTGTATGATCTCCGCCTGTTCTTCAGAGTGAGTGGAGTTTGTGTGATCTCCCCCTGTTCTACAGAGTGAGTGGAGTTTGTGTGATCTCCCCCTGTTCTACAGTGAGTGGAGTTTGTGTGTTCTAACCCTGTTCTACAGAGTGAGTGGAGTGTGTGATCTCCGCCTGTTCTACAGAGTGAGTGAGTGGAGTTTTTATGATCTCCCTCTGTTCTACAGAGTGAGTGGAGTTTGTATGATCTCCCCCTGTTCTACAGAGTGAGTGGAGTTTGTATGTTCTCCCCCTGTTCTACAGAGTGAGTGGAGTTTGTATGATCTCCCCCTGTTCTACAGAGCGAGTGAGTGGAGTTTGTATGATCTCCCTCTGTTCTACAGAGTGAGTGGAGTTTGTATGATCTCCCTCTGTTCTACAGAGTGAGTGGAGTTTGTATGATCTCCCCCTGTTCTACAGAGTGAGTGGAGTTTGTATGATCCCCCTCTGTTCTACAGAGTGAGTGGAGTTTGTGTGATCTCCCCGTTCTACAGAGAGTGGAGTTTGTATGATTTCCCCTGTTCTACAGAGTGAGTGGAGTTTGTGTGATATCCCCCCTGTTCTACAGAGTGAGTGGAGTTTGTGTGATCTCCCCCTGTTCTACAGAGTGAGTTGAGTTTGTATGATGTCCCCCTGTTCTACAGAGTGAGTGGAGTTTGTATGATTTCCCCTGTTCTACAGAGTGAGTGGAGTGTGCGTGATCTCCGCCTGTTCTACAGAGTGAGTGAGTGGAGTTTGTATGAGCTCCCTCTGTTCTACAGAGTGAGTGAAGTTTGTGTGATCTCCCCGTTCTACAGAGAGTGGAGTTTGTATGATTTCCCCTGTTCTACAGAGTGAGTGGAGTTTGTATGATCTCCCTCTGTTCTACAGAGTGAGTGGAGTTTGTATGATCTCCCCCTGTTCTACAGAGTGAGTGGAGTTTGTGTGATATCCCCCCTGTTCTACAGAGTGAGTGGAGTTTGTGTGATCTCCCCCTGTTCTACAGAGTGAGTGCAGTTTGTATGATGTCCCCCTGTTCTACAGAGTGAGTGGAGTTTGTATGATTTCCCCTGTTCTACAGAGTGAGCGGAGTTTTTATGATCTCTCCCTGTTCTACAGAGTGAGTGGAGTTTGTATGATGTCCCCCTGTTCTAGAGAGCGAGTGGAGTTTGTATGATCTCCCCCGTTCTACAGAGTGGAGTTTGTATGATCTCCCCCAGTTCTACAGAGCGAGTGAGTGGAGTTTGTATGACCTCCCTCTGTTCTACAGAGTGAGTGGAGTTTGTATGATCTCCGCCTGTTCTACAGAGTGAGTGGAGTTTTATGATCTCCCCCTGTTCTACAGAGTGAGTGGAGTTTGTATGATTTCCCTTTGTTCTACAGAGTGAATTAAGTTTGTATGATCTCCCCCTGTTCTACAGAGTGGAGTTTGTATGATCTCCCCCTGTTCTACAGAGTGAGTGAGTGGAGATTGTGTGATCTCCCCCTGTTCTACAGAGCGAGTGAGTGGAGTTTGTATGATCTCCCCCTGTTCTACATAGTGAGTTGAGTTTGTATGATTTCCCCTGTTCTACAGAATGAGTGGAGTTTGTATGATCTCCCCTTGTTCTACAGAGTGAATGGAGTTTGTATGATCTCCCCCTGTTCTCGAGTGAGTGGAGTTTGTATGATCTCCCCCTGTTCTGCAGAGTGAGTGGAGTTTGTATGATTTCCCCTGTTCTACAGAGTGAGTGGAGTTTGTATGATCTCCCCCTGTTCTACAGAGTGAGTGGAGTTTGTATGATCTCCCCCTGTTCTACAGAGTGAGTGGAGTTTGTATGATCTCCCCCTGTTCTACAGAGTGAGTAGAGTTTGTGTGATCCCCCCCTGTTCTACAGAGCAAGTGAGTGAAGTTTGTATGATCTCCCCCTGTTCTAGAGTGAGTGGAGTTTGTATGATCTCCCCCTGTTCTAGAGTGAGTGGAGTTTGTATGATCTCCCCCTGTTCTACAGAGCAAGTTAGTGGAGTTTGTATGATCTCCCCCTGTTCTACACAGTGAGTGAGTGGAGTTTGTGTGATCTCCGCCTGTCCTACAGAGTGAGTGGAGTTTTATGATCTCTCCCTGCTCTACAGAGTGAGTGGCGTTTGTGTGATCTCCCCCTGCTCTGCAGAGTGTGAGTGAGTGATTTGGATAACCTGGTGCTGTGTGTAAAACATCGCCACTGGGGAGACAAAGGCGGCCGGGCGTGGTGCTGGCCACCCACCCCTCGTGTGTCGTGCCGGCCTTCATAGGTGCTCGCTAACAGCACTTGCCCCTACAGTCTGTTACAGGCTGTAGCGGGGTGGGTGGGTGGTGGGTGGGTGGGGGGATCTGTGGACCAAGGTTGGGACGTCTGGCTAACGTCCAACGGTCTCCTCCATGTCGGCCTGACGTTGGCACAACGTTCACGTGCCCACCGGAGCGTTCGTGGCGACCCCGAGGGGTGGGCTGACAGGGGGGGGCTGGCAGGGGGGGGGGCTAGCGGGGGGTTCCCGAACGACATAAATGAAAGAGGCGGGAGAGGGCGCGTGCAGAGTTGATGCATTGTTGTTTAATAAATAAAATGTTCATTAAAATAAAATATATTCACTGTACATGCCAACGTCTCATAATTTAATGGAATAATTTAAACGCGACTCAATGATTGAATTTTTGCCTGCCTCCGCATCCTCCTCCTCCTCCGGTTCCTGACGCACACACACACACCTGTGATGCCGTGTTACCTTGCCGGGCTATCCCTCCACTCTCTCTCTCCACTCTCTCTCTGCGTCCTCTCTCTCTCTCTGTACTCTCCGCTCTCTCCACTCTCTCTCTCTGGCAACTCCCTCTGCCACTCTCTCTCTGCACACTCTCCGCTTTCTCCGCTATCCCTCCACTCTCTCTCTCTCCGCTCTCTCTCTCTCTGCGTCCTCTCTCTCTGTTTGTACTCTCCGCTCTCTCCACTCTCCGCTCTCTCTGGCAACTCCCTCTGCACTCTCTCTTTCTCTCTGCACACTCTCCGCTCTCTCCGCTATCCCTCCACTCTCTCTCTCTCCACTCTCTCTCTGCGTCCTCTCTCTCTCTGTACTCTCTCCACTCTCCGCTCTTGGCAACTCCCACTGCACTCTTTCTCTCTCTGCACACACTCGGCTCTCTCCGCTATCCCTCCACTCTCTCTGCACTCTCCACTCACTCCGCCTTCCACTCTCCACTCGCTCTATTCTCTCGGGCTCTCTCTAGCCACTCCACTCTCTCTGCACCCTCTCCGCTATCTCTGCTCTCCCTCCACTCTGCACTCTCCACTCGCTCCATTCTCTCCATCCTCTCTCCGCTCCCTCTCCCCACTCTCTGCTGCTCTCTCCGCACTCTCTCCGCTCTCTCCACTCTCCCGACTATATCCACTCTCTCCGCTCTCTCTCCCCACTCTCTCTCTGCTCTCTCTCCCCACTCTCCCCACTCTCTCTCTGCACTCTCTCCATTCTCTCCGCACTCTCTCTCTCCGCTCTCTCCACCCTCTCGACTTTATCCACCCTCTCTGCTCTCTCTGCACTCTTTCCATTCTCTCCATTCTCTCCGCACTCTCCACACTCTCTCCGCTCTCTCTCTCGCCGACACGATTGGCTCTCGATCCACTGCGAGGCTGCGCATCCCCTACCCACTACACCCTCACCTCCACCCACTAGACGCTCACCTCCACCCACCAGATACTCACCTCCACCCACTAGACCCTCACACCCCACCCACCAGACCCTCACCTCCACCCCCACCAGACCCTCACCTCCACCCACCAGACCGTCACCTCCACCCACCAGACCCTCACCTCCACCCACTAGACCCCCCTCCCCCCCCCACCAAACCCTCATCTCCACCCACTAGACCCTGACCTCCACCCACCAGACCCCCCCCCCCCACCAGACGCTCACCTCCACCCACCAGACCCTCACCTCCACCCACCAGACCCTCACCTCCACCCACCAGACACTCACCTCCACCCACCAGACGCTCACCTCCACCCATCAGACACTCACCTCCACCCACCAGACGCTCACCTCCACCCACCAGACGCTCACCTCCACCCACCAGACGCTCACCTCCACCCACCAGACGCTCACCTACATCCACCAGACCCTCACCTCCACCCACCATAGATCACCAATCGTTTCATCTGCACCAAATCCCTCCCCCCTCCCCCCCCCCCCATCGTCAGCCATCCGTCCGTCCGTGCCTTTTGTACATCCATCCATCAAGCTGCCACGCATCGACCCCCTTCGATTCGCCCGGCCCCATCGAATCACCGACTCCTCCTGATCGGCAATCCCCGCGCACCCATCGGTGCGATCAACTCCTTCGATCTCCCCGTCAGCTCCTCCCTCCATCCATCGCCCTTCGTTCACCCAGCCCCCCCCCCCCCCACCCCGCGCCGCTCGCCCTCCCACGTGCCCCGGCTGTCCAACGCGGGCGAAGGGCGAGCAACGGGTTGCCCGACGCGGGCCCCCCCCCCCAGCCCGGGCCTGCGTCGCCTAACCCCCCCCCCTCATCCTCTTTATCCGCTACAAATAAACTCCCTTGCTCCACCCGTTCAACTCTCGCCGTCCAATTCCGATTCTCCATCCGTACTCGGCCGGCGCGCACGCCCGCCGGCCGAATTCGTACACCCCGCGATATTCTTCCCCTCTCTCCATCGGCCGATCCATCCGTCCATCCATCCATCCATTCCTTCTCCCATCCACCCGACCCAATCCGACCCACCAATTCACCAAATTATCCCTTTTCGTCATCCGCCCGCTCGTCCGCCGATATCCTCCGTCCGCCCGCCCGTCCGCCCGACGATCCGCCCAGTTCCCGCGCCCGTCAGTATCGGCCGAACTTGCGCGTGAGCGTGCACACGCACGCAGTGTCGATGCGAATCCACGTCCACACGGACTGGCCGCTCTTGTCGAGCGTCAGCGCCCGCACGTACGACTGCGTGGTCTTGCACCGCGAGTCCCAGTGTCTCTCGTCGATGCCGCGGCAGGACGAGCCAAACTGCCCGGCACCCCCCCCTCCTCCTCCCCCTCCATCCCTCCCTCCTCCTCCTTTCCCTCCCACTCCTCCTCCTCCTCCTCCTCCCGCTCCTCCTCCACCCTTGCAGCGCGTCTCGTAGAAGTACTGGCGCACGGGGCGCCCCGCCGTGCTGAACTCGAGCAGCACGCGAACTCGGTGCCCGTGGATGTCAAAGGCGCTGGGTTTGTCCGTGACCCAGCGGCTCTCGCTGTCGCACACCGAGTACTCGCCGCGGTGCACGCGGCCCTGCGGGTGCCGCTTGGAGCGCGCCGTGCCGTTGGCGGGGCCCGCGACCCACGGCGCCCCGCCCGCGCCGACCCCCACCCCGATCTCCTCCTCCTCCGCCTCCTCCGCCTCCTCCGCCGCCTCCTCCGCCTCCTCCTCCGCCTCCTCCGCCCGCTCTTCCGCCGCCGCAATCGCGGAGGCGGCCGCGGCCGCCGCGGCCGCCGCCGCCGCCTCCCCGATGCCGAAGAGCGGCGGTGGCGCCAGCGGGCGGCGCTCGCTGAGGATCACGCGGGGAGATGGCGCGGGGGCGTCCTCGGTGCCCGGCCTCGCGCTCCCCGAACCGAAGACCGGCGGGGCCGCGGGGCCGGGCGGCGGCGCCGCCGCCGCCGTTTGCCCGCGGTGCCTCCAGCGCGCCGGAGCGCCGTCCCTCCGTGACGCCGAGGGCCACCGCGCCACCCTGGCCCGGGACAGTTTCTCCCGCAGCAGACGGACCAGCAGCGGCGGCGGCGGCGGCGGCGGCGGGGAGCCCTGCCTCCGCCGCTGCTGCTGCTGCTGCTGCTGCTGAGCGGCGCTCCGGCCGCCGAAAGGGCCGCCACCCGCCCCGACCGCCGCGACGCCTCCGGGGGCCCCGGGCCCCCCTTGCTGGGCCGTGGCTGCCGCGGCGGCCGCGGCGGCGGAGGAGGAGGACGGCAGTAGGACCCCCCCAGAGTGAGCGAGCAGCAGCAGCAGGAGCAGAAGAAGATTTCTCATCGCTGTGTCTGCCTGGGGGTGGGGGGGGGGGGGGCAATTGGAGAGGGGGAAGGGGGGGGCGGTTAATTAACCACGGGTTGCTGAGACCGGGCCCAGAAGACCAAGCAGAGCGATCCCAATATGGATGGGATCATTGGGACTTGAGTCGGCGGTGATGGTCAGGAGGAGGTGACATTGATGAGGTCTTTGTTGATGATGGGTGGGTGGTTGTGGTTGATGATGAGTGGGTGGTTGTGGTTGATGGTGAGTGGGTGGTTGTGGTTGATGATGGGTGGGTGGTTGTGGTTGATGATGGGTGGGTGGTTGTGGTTGATGATGGGTGGGTGGTTGTGGTTGATGATGAGTGGGTGGTTGTGGTTGATGATGGGTGGGTGGTTGTGGTTGATGATGAGTGGGTGGTTGTGGTTGATGATGGGTGGGTGGTTGTGGTTGATGATGGGTGGGTGGTTGTGGTTGATGATGGGTGGGTGGTTGTGGTTGATGATGGGTGGGTGGTTGTGGTTGATGATGGGTGGGTGGTTGTGGTTGTCATCAACTCTCTCGCGGCCCACGCGATGTCTCTGCGCAGAGTCGCTGGCAGACCCGAGTGGTCTTCCAGAACAGGGAGCCACGTGATTGGTGGCCTCGCGTCACTGACTAGGGGGTCACGTGGAGGCCCCTCCGCCTTCCCACGTGGCCGCCAGCCCACGTGGTCCGCCAGCTACTGCAGTACCGAGCTCTGTCCGCGAGGGGGCACTCACTGGACGAGCACGCGATCCGCCCCCCGCATATCTCCGAAGAGCACTCCAAGCGTGCTCTTGCCACTCGACAGCCACCCTCAACAGCCACCGTCCACCGAGACCTCGACAGATGTCACCTGCTCCTCACCATTACCGCCGACTCGAATCCCAAGGATCCCATCCCATCCTAGAGTCTCACCAACCACACTCTAGAGTCTCATTCACCCAGGTGCTAGAGTCTCACCACCAAGGTCCTAGAGTCTCACCACCAAGGTCCTAGAGTCTCACCACCAAGGTCCTAGAGTCTCACCACCAAGGTCCTAGAGTCTCACCACCCAGATCCTGGAGTCTCCCCACCCAGATCCTGGAGTCTCACCACCCAGATCCTAGAGTCTCACCACCCAGAACCTAGAGTCTCACCACCCAGATCCTGGAGTCTCACCACCCGGATCCTGGAGTCTCACCACCCAGATCCTAGAGTCTCACCACCCAGATCCTGGAGTCTCACCACCCAGATCCTGGAGTCTCACCACCCAGATCCTGGAGTCTCACCACCCAGATCCTGGAGTCTCACCACCCAGATCCTAGAGTCTCACCACCCAGATCCTAGAGTCTCAGCACCCAGATCCTAGAGTCTCACCACCCAGATCCTGGAGTCTCACCACCCAGATCCTAGAGTCTCAGCACCCAGACCCTAGAGTCTCACCACCCAGATCCTGGAGTCTCACCACTCAGATCCTAGAGCCTCACCACCCAGATCCTGGAGTCTCACCACCAAGATCCTGGAGTCTCACCATCCAGATCCTAGATTCTCACCACCAAGGTCCTAGAGTCTCACCACGCAGATCCTAGAGTCTCACCACCCAGATCCTGGAGTTTCACCACCCAGATCCTAGAGTCTCAACACCAAGGTCCTAGAGTCTCACCACCCAGATCCTAGAGACTCACCACCCAGATCCTGGAGTCTCACCACTCAGATCCTAGAATCTCACCACCCAGATCCTGGAGTCTCACCACCCAGATCCTGGAGGCTCACCACCCAGATCCTGGAGTCTCACCACCCAGATCCTGGAGTCTCACCACCCAGATCCTTGAGTCTCACCAACCAGATCCTAGAGTCTCACCACCCAGATCCTAGAGTCTCACCACCCAGATCCTGGAGTCTCACCACCCAGATCCTAGAGTCTCAACACCAAGGTCCTAGAGTCTCACCACCCAGATCCTGGAGTCTCACCACCCAGATCCTAGAGTCTCAACACCCAGATCCTAGAGTCTCACCACCCAGATCCTGGAGTCTCACCACTCAGATCCTAGAGTCTCACCACCCAGATCCTGGAGTCTCACCACCCAGATCCTGGAGTCTCACCACCCAGATCCTGGAGTCTCACCACCCAGATCCTAGAGTCTCAAAACCCAGATCCTAGAGTCTCACCACCCAGATCCTGGAGTCTCACCACTCAGATCCTAGAGTCTCACCACCCAGATCCTAGAGTCTCACCACCCAGATCCTAGAGTCTCACCACCCAGATCCTGGAGTCTCATCACCCAGATCCTAGAGTCTCACCACCCAGATCCTAGAGCCTCACCACCCGGATCCTGGAGTCTCATCACCCAGATCCTAGAGTCTCACCACAGGAACCGGAAGAACTCTGCTGCTGCTACTGTGCAAACAGTGCAACAACACGGACGTCCAGAGAAACAAACACCTCCTCATCCGAGACCCACACCTCATCATCGCACCTGCTCTTCCTGCTGGCTTTGACATTCTGCCACCTCCTGCTCGAAAACATCGGTGGAACAATGAACCGCATCATCAGGACACCACCACCTGGACGATGCCGCTTCACCGCATCACCTCCATGAATGGGAAATTAAAGACTCAGCCACGGTGGTGTAACTCTGGCTGTGCAACGCAAACTGTGGACTGCACAGTGAACCCATAGAGACGCATAGAAATACATAGAGACCCATAGAGATACACAGACCTACACACACATACACAGAATTACACACGCACAACAACAACAACCACCCTCACCACGACGCTCGTGCCAGGCTAGGTAAACTTTGAGGGCAACTGCCTCCAGCTTTCCAGTAGCGTCCTTCACAGCATCCGTCTCTGCAGTGGCCGATCTTTGTACCGGTCATCGGCAAGTCCACTCAGCTCCACATCCCCTTGTACCACATCACTCCATCTCTTCTCTAGCCCCGTGCCGCGCCCAGTTGAGCCCCCTCTATCCGTCCAAACAGAAGCTGATTTGCTTGGGCATGCGGTGGCTGGGCATGCGAGCTACGTGACTCAGCCAGCACAACCGTGCCTGCCAGAGGAGCTTACCGATTATGGGACTGTGCCCAGATCTTTCAAGTAATCTGTGAGCTCCTCGCACAATCCTGTCTGGTTAAACCCACGATGGATCGTAGGCAGGCTGGCCAAAATGTTTCAAACCGGCGCAGATGTTCCTTTTTGAGGGCTCCGCGTTTCAAAGTCGTAGAAAGGGAGTGGCATAACTGTGGCTGAGAAGACCCGGAGCAGTCTGGAGCGACATACCAGGAAGCTTGCACACTGCGTTATGCAATTCATGAAAAGATAATACCGCTCGACTGGCACACTGCCCAGGTACGCAAACATATCCACTCTCTCCACAACTGCCCCATCACTCCACGTGCAGCGGAGGGAGGGGAGCGTTCGATTACATAAGATAGCCGGGAAGGTGCAGTGTTTTTGTGGGGGCTGATGGTAAGGCCCCATCTCTTAGTAGCACACTCCAGGTTCAAGCCATTAGCATCTCCCAAACCCTTGTCAGAGTGGGAAGCAATCACCAGATCATCAGCATACATGGCATGGTTGACCGATAGGCAGTCACATCCCTCGACCGCACCCGAGCAGCGATCAGCATCCCACTGCATCTGCACCAGATGGAAATCCCGCCGTTGCAGCCACAGAAAGCTTCTCGAACTCCGTGGTCAAAGATGATTGTTCAATAATGTGGGAGCCAGGAACAATTCCTGTCGCACCCCAAGGTGAACATGGATTGGCCTCCTACTCCCGGCCACGCAGCTTTACCCGCGCCTGCCCACCATCATGAAGGCCCTCAATGATTGCGAGCGGAGAGTCGGAGACGCCCGAAAGCACGAACAATAACCCAGGGCCCTGGCCTATTGAAGATATCATAAAGCCTTGGCCAGGTGGATGAATCACACTCACACGTGTTACACACTCACACGTGTTACACGCGTGCACGTGGGTATCTGATGCCCCAATCAGGGCACGGACGTCGCTTTATCAGGAAGACCCCTCCCCCTATACCCCCAACGCCTATACCCCCCTTCCTCTAACCCCCTCTCCCCATAATCCGCTCTCACCCCATACCCCACCCGTATCCCCTATACCCCCACCCCCCATACCCCATCCCCTATACCCCCACCCCCTATGCCCCCATCTCCTAATAACCTCTTCCTCTACCCCCTCCACCACCACCACCTCCACCACCACCCCCACCTCCCTCCCCCCCCAAAAGCACAGGAGACTCCCCTGAGATACTGGGACCCAGCGTGTGGATATCGCTGTGACCCTTACAGCGGCAGGGCTAAGTGTTGCCCCGCGGCAGTTTGGCCAAGACAGCCAAGGAGTGGGCGAGCTTCAGCTTCTCCCGCTTTGCGTGTGCACCGCTCCGCAGACGCAGACAATGATCTCCCGTCTAGTAAACGCAAGCTGCCGGGGAAAAGTGCTGTTAACGAGTACCTATGAAGGCCGGCATGGCACGTGGTGGCAAGCACCGCGCCCGGCCGCCTTTGTCTCCCCAGCAGCGATGTTCACACATCGCACCAGGAGCTCAATTGAGGCCGCCAAGTTCAGATAAATCCCCACTGGCTGCTGGTCGGCAGTGAGAGAGGGGAAATCGAACTCGGGCACACCGCCTTCATCGCGTGAAGAAACAACACAACACAACACACAAAACACAACACACAACAAACACACAACACACAACACCCGCGCACATTCGCAGAGACCGAGGCTTGGGGAGACGATCATCCAGCAGTGGACTGAGCATGGCCCATGATGTTCGTCAGAGCAACCACGTGCAGCACGAGGTCGATTCAAACAGGTAAACCACAACTGCCAACCCATTACGGATCACCCCGTATTCTTGCGAAGGGAGACTGAGTTTTCAGGGTCCATTCGGCGTACAGCCGCGTCAATACGGGCGAAATTAGTCGTTGTCAATTTCTTTGTTTTGCGTCTCCCTTGCGATGGGACTTTGTAGGATGGACGTTGAGATTTATAAGGGGCAC